CATCTGGGAGAGTCCGGAGCAGATGTGACCAGTCTGAGGTGGGCCATGTGGGGGAGGGGGAAGAGGGAGGGAGAAGGAAAAGAGGAGAAATGAGGTGCAGCAGCCAAGAGGGCAAAGGTACAGAAGGGTGGGCAACCAAAAAGACCGGGTTATACAGGGAAGAGCCTCTGGGGGAAGGGCAGCTTAGGCCCTGGGCTGGAGAGTTCAGGGTAGAGGGTGGGGTAGGCCAGCCACACCCTGTAAAAGGTAGGGACTGAGGGATGCTGGGAGAACCTGGCAACTGGGTGCACTTTGATATGTTAAATAGGCATCTCAGCCATTTGTCCCAGGGTTTGAGACTTAACGGTGTAAAATGCCATGGCAGCTAAAACATGCGGAAACATAATGCTATTATTGCTGCAATCAAGTTAGTTTGAGTGCGAATTCTATTGAGAATGGATACAGGTATTTATCAACATTTATAAATTCATTTAAGCTGCTGATTAAATGGGCAGTCTAAGTTGAAGTGAACCTGAGCATGGCAGCATAAAACCTTTATCCTTCAACCTCTTTCTAGAATATTCTTCAGGCTGATACTGGCTCATTTGAAGTTTTGATCTCCGAGGTCTTCCACCCCCACCCCCACCCCGAGGCAGAGTCTCCTGCATCCTAGAGTCTCCTGCCCTGACCTCTCAAATTCTAGGATCACAAGTGTGCACCACCTTCCCCCCCACACACACACATCTTCAAGGTTTCCAGGGAAGGGTCCCCTTCACTTTCATCCTGGTCTTGCCAGGGGTACCCTGTCCTCCCTACCTCCAGTCCTGGGGATTCCAGCTCAGGATACCCACTGCTCAGTGTCTCAATCAACTTCCTGTTGCCTGCAAGATGAAGGACTCTCAGCTCCAGCTCCACATCTGCCTGCACGCGGCCATGCTCCCAGGCATGATGATAATGGACTGAAACCCTGAAACAATAAGTGAGCCCCCCAATTAAATATTTTCTTTATAAGAGTTAGCTCAGAGGTTAGGAAGTCCTGAGTTCAATTCCCAGCAACCACTTGGTGACTCACAACCATCTATAGTGATATCTGGTGCCCTCTTCTGGCATAAAGGCATAATGCAGTCAGAACACTATACATAATAAACAAACAAACAAACAAACAAACAAACAAATAAATAAATAAATCTTTTTTTTAAATAGTGGTATGAGAGTATAATCCACTGAGTAACGTATTCATAAAAGTATGACTGCAAAGTCCTTTTTTTTTTTTGATTTTCGAGACAAGGTTTCTCTGTAGCTTTTGGTGCCTGTCCTAGAACCAGCTCTTGTAGACCAGGCTGGCCTCGAACTCAAAGAGATCTGCCTGCCTCTGCCTCCCGAGTGCTGGGATTAAAGGCTTGCGCCACCACTGCCCGGCTGCAAAGTCCTTTTTTAAAAAGAATTTCTGTCGTCATGGTGTCTCTTAAAAGCAATAAAAACCCTAAGACAGAGGTCCAGCTGGCGTATCATTTTTCTATCAAACGGCTTGTTGATTATGGCGCTCATCTCGTGTGAAGTGTGTAAGCAATACTTTCCTTGTCAGTCAGCGCGCTTCTCTGCAAGCTGTCTTTAACCACGTCGCCTAACTACAAGAGTGAGGTCTCCTAAAGTACCTGGCAGCTTCCAGAATGGAAACAAGGCAGAGGACCCAGTTGGGAAGGCTCAAGGCTGCTGTGCAGGTGGACCCAGAAGAAACCAGGTCCTGACCCTGGACTGTTCTCTCTTTCAGAACACCCCCGCGTGAACACACGCACCTCTCCAATCATTGCCCCCAGTCTGTCCATTCCCAAGTTCGAGTCTGGCATGAAGGACATTTAGCTGTGTTTCTGCCCTGACTCTTCATGCCCTTCTCTCTGCGCTGTTCCAGAGGAGGTAGAAACTATATCTGGTACCCAGGTTTCCATAATAGGATGAAGCAACGGAAACCTGGTTTGGGTATCTGTTCCCTTGCCAAGATTACATAAAACAGAGAAATGTACCCAGAGGAACATGTGGTGCTTCCGGGAGAGCAGTGGGATTCTAGGAAGTCAGAATTCTGTGAAATGTGGATAGGAATTTCGACTCTACTTGGTAGTCTATGACAGAGGCCCATTACCTAAAACTAACACTAAAAATTGGCTCTGGTCCTCATCTGTACATTGGTCCATTTCCTGGGGCCAAACTCTGCCACTGTCCTGTTTGAGTTCCTGTCCTGACTTCTTCCAGTGATGAACAGTGATATGGTGGTATCAGCCAAATAAACCCTGTCTTACCCAAGTTGCATTTGGTCATGGTGTTTCATCACAGCAATAGAAACCCTAACTAAGACAATCTCTTCACTGAGAGAGCATGGTTAGGAAGAAACAAGCAGGAGGATGCATTTGTCTGTCTGACAGCAGTAACAGATACATAAGTGCGTTGATGATGGAGATGCATGGGAAAAAAATCAATGGGAGGATGAGGCTTGAGTATGTATTCGGTTGTTAGCATTATTAATTTATATGATGTGATTTCTAATAATAGTCATATTTCAGTAATTTTCTTGAAGCATTTAACAATAATTCCTAGAAGCCAGTGCCAACACAGCCCTGATATGAAGTAGATCAATATGTATGAGAGAGAGACAGAGATAGTGAGCCAGAGAAGAGATGGTGGTATATCACAATTATCTATCTATCTATCTATCTATCTATCTACCTATCTATCTATTATCTATCTATTATCTATCTATCTATCTATCTACATATCTATCTATCTATCTATTATCTATCTATCTACATATCTATCTATCTACATATCTATCTATCCATCCATCCATCCACCCATTTGTTGATTGACTCTGCACCCACTAAGATGCTTGAAGCAAAAACTTGTAAAATTTTAACAGTAGCCTGTAATACTGGAGATCCTAAAAACAGAACATTAGCACCTGACATTATATATAAAAAATAAATTGGACAGCCACAGGCTGTGCCCAACCCATCATGTAATCTGGGATGTGCTTGTCGGGCCTCATCACCCCCCCCCCCCCCCCGCCGCCCAGTCTGAGTCTCGGCAGCCCTCACATCTTTGCAAATAAAGAATGAAATAAAGCCAGAAGCTCAGGAGATGACCTGGGCAAGCTTTGGTGACAGCCAGTCTTGAAGGTCTCCAGGAAGCCCTGATATCTGTGTCCCTGGATCCTGGGTATCTGAGCTGTTTAACTATTGTGTCTTTGCAGACATGATGACATGTGACTCCTGTAGCTAGTGGGCAATGGCCCTGAAGCCTCTGCCTAGCTCTGCTACCTCACCTGCTGTACCAGATACTGGTAGCATTGGAGGCATGTGGAGAAGCCCATTTTGAAGGGACTGAGGTTTTCCAACAACAACCAGCATTGCTCCCCAGAGCTGTGAGTTTTCTGTCCTACAAGGGGAACCTGGGCTGCAGGACAGTCTGCAAACGACACAGCATTTGAGAATCTCCAAGTTAGAATCACCCAGACTAAGTAACACACACACTCATACACACACACACACACACACACACGCGCGCGCGCGCACGCGTGATGGGAATTTCACTATATAGGTCAAGCTGGCCTAAAACTTGCTGTGAGGTTACAGCTAAACTCAAACTCATGATCCTTCTGCCTCAGACCCTAAGTGCTGGGATTATAGGGGTATGCTACCACACCTGACTAAAAGTATTCTCAAATCCTTGACCCACAGGTAACTGGCAAAAATTATTAACATTCTTGCTGTTTTTAGCCACTGAGTTTTGGGGTACTTAGTTACACAATATTATGGTCTGTGTGTAAAGTGTCCTTCAAAAGCTGCATTTGTCGAGGGAGTGGTTCTCAGCCGGGAGTGGCAATCGAGAGGTGACTGGACCATGAGGCCAGGAAGGACATCGGTGGATGGATGAATGAATCCATTGATAAATTCAGGCAAGAATGAGCTCTCGGGATGTGGGGCCTAAACTCAGGGCGTGGCTTTGAAGAGCGCATTTTGTCCCTGAATCCATCCACTTCTACTTTTCCTTGGTTGCCTGAACCGAGCAGCCTGTCCTGGGGCTCATGCCCGGTGCTTCCGTTTCTCGCAGGCCTAAAAGCAAATGGATCCAGCTGAGCAGGACCCAAACTCCAGAAATGATGGATCGAAATCACCCTGTGCTCCTTAAAGTGAATTTCTTTTACACATTTTATGATATGGCCGAAAAGCTAAGTGACCCACTCGATAACAAAGAACTTCATATCTGTCAGAGTTTCACCATCTGAGATACTGGTTCTTCTGAACACAGAGCTGTTGAGGTGGGGGTCTCACAAAGAACCTTGAAGACATTTTGTTTCTCTTTTTACAAAAGGAGGAGGAGGAGGAAGAAAGAAGAGGAAGAAGAAGAAATAAGAAAGAAGAAGAGGAGGAGGAGGAGGAGGAGGAGGAGGAGGAGGAGGAGGAAGAAGAAGAAGAAGAAGAAGAAGAAGAAGAAGAAGAAGGAGGAAGAAGAAGAAGAAGAAGAAGAAGAAGAAGAAGAAGAAGAAGAAGAAGAAGAAGAAGAAGAAGAAGAAGAAAAAGAAGAAGAAAGAAAATTGAATTTCAAGCCAGCAACAGAAAGCTTTTGTAAAATATGACATTTGAAATTCATTTTGCTGTTAGTGTTTCTGTAGACACCTATAGCAAAGAGAAAATAAATGCACTCTGTCTTACATGGCCTCTGCAATTCTAACGGGCAAGGCAGCTTGAAGTGAAACTATGGACTCTTGTTCACAGCAAGGAACATCTCCCAACCTTCCGATGGCACTTTCTTTAATTCTTTAATTTTTTTTTTAATTCTCCACCTTTAACTCTTCTGTGCCTCTTTTGGAAGAGTGCAAGTGGTACACATTACCAGGGACATTAATTACAAAGGGAGGGAACAGTAGTTCCAATAGCTGTTCCCAATGGGAGTCTTAAGGACACCTGCAGGAAGCCACCTGCAGGCACCCGGGGATACTGGGAGGTTTCTCCTGTCTCCACCCGCTGAAGTACGCTCTGGAGAAGCTAGCTAGCGCCTATCTCCACGCAGAAGAAGATCCGCGGCGCTCGTAGATCTGGTCCAAGGGTCCAGGCGCTCCTGGGGAGCCGCGGAGGCCAGGCGAACCGCAGCTGAGCTGGGGACCCGGGGGCGAGCGCGCGCAGCCCTTCCAGGCGAAACGCAGCGCACAGCGCCCGGGCGGTGCCCAGCATGGAGTGGGAGCTGAATCTGCTGCTCTACCTGGCGCTCTTCTTCTTCCTGCTCTTCCTCCTGTTCCTCCTGCTCTTCGTGGTCATCAAGCAGCTGAAGAACTCGGTGGCCAACACAGCCGGGACGCTGCAGCCCGGGCGCCTGTCACTGCACCGGGAACCGTGGGGTTTCAATAACGAGCAAGCAGTGTAACCCAGCGCTGAGCTGGTCTCAGCTCCGCGGGGATTCAGGTACACCCCTCGGGAGTGGCGGCAGGGGGACACACTCTTTGCTCCTCCCGGGTCTCCGGACCCGCTCCAGGGCAGGGGATCGCAGCGACAAGAGTCTGGCCAAGGAGCAGAGTTCTTCTAGAGCAAGCCTGATGCCATGAGGGGAGACTAGGGGTTGGAGGTCAGTTTGGGGGCGAGAATGGTATGCACACCTGCGAACTCTTCTTTGCAGACCAACTGCATTTGTGCAAAAGTCTAGTATTCAGTCAACTCAGCTCAGCCACTTCCAACAAAATTAATTATCTACATGTCTGAAGGGTGTGAGCTTTGCTTTGAGGGGCGTTCCAATGTGCACGGGAGAAATGATTCAGGGACCTGTTGGGGGTGGGAGGTTTCCTTCTACTTTTGATTGTTACTCCTAGTCTAACCTTCGGGGTAGTCAAAGGTGGGTTTAGACCCTGGGACATCAGAGGGTAAATATGAGAATGATTCGCTGGGAAATGACCTTTGGACGCGGCCTGGAGGGCCGGCAAAAGGGGCTGCTTTGCAGAGGGTCGGGTTAGCAGAAAGAGCTGTGTGAAAGGAGAGGCCTGCCCGTGGTTAATTTATCAGACCTCTTGGAAAAGGCTGACCATCAGGAGTAAAACCCACCTGTGCTCCCTAAACAAGGTCAGACAACGTTAGTTTGAGAGATCGTTTCATTCATCATATCCAACGCTTTTCTTAGATCTACATCATCCGAACCCAGGCTGGTACCCTTGACTCCGATCACAGCCCTGCAAAGTTGGACAGTGGCTGGTGGAAATCTTCTCGAGAAAGGTATGTTGGGGCCTCTCACTCAGGCTGGGTGTCTCCAGATCCAGGGCCTATCAAAGAGAAGGGTCAGGATGCAAGAGGCAGGAACCTGGAAATTGAGGGTTTCTTCTCTGAATCAGAGAGCTTCCTCCAGAATCAAGAACTCAAGGTGATGTCTTGTGGGAACCGTGGGAATGATGGGGCTTGTGGGAATTAGAAAAAGAGGCCAGGAGCATTTGCAAATTTACTAGCCACCCCCCCCCCCCGCCGTTTTTGAAAATAGAATGAAGGTGCAAATATAATTTGTCTTCAGTAGGGAAAGTTTGGGACACACTATGCCATGGAAACACTAATTTTACACACACACACACACACAGTCTATGGAGAGTTAAACCCCACAACATCATGTTTTGCCAAGGCTGATCATACAGAAACTACACAGAAGGGAAATGGTTGGTAATTTAAACGAAAGTGAAAATAGTCCCGTCTAGGGGGGGTAACTACCAGAAACGATTTTGGTTGGAGACAATAGACATATTCTAAGTCATTCTGACATAATAAAGCTAATCTTAAATGAAGACAATGGTTTGTTTTAGCTATTATTTCTCCGGTAAATTCTTATCTCCTTGTCACATCTTTATCAAAGATGTAGTGAGGCTTGATTTCGGTTTCCAGTCTGAATTGCAAACTCAGTAGCCATGAATCTGCATTGTGATTTGAACAATAGTCCTCTAATTAGCTCATCTCTACGCAGTGATGTTTCGTTACAAGGCTGCATGGTTATTATGAACATGGACAATGAATGAGGGAGTGACTAATGAGCAATTGTATTTGTTTATAAGGGCAGAAAATAATCATTTCATACTTTGTAAATAATCAGGATATAAATTACTTTTAACCACCAGCTTGGCTTCTTGACTTTGTAATCTTTTCATCCTCCCGGTAGTCCCGGGCTCCTGGGGTCCAAGAGTGTAATTCACCCCAACCTTTCACTGACTGGAGAGGACAGAAAACTTGGGCATCTCTGTATTAGGCTGATCTCTGTAGTTTTACAGGAGTGGCTGCCTTTCCACAGGGCAATTCTATCACCGCTGCACTAATTTGTCAGTTACTATGTTCTCATTTATGTAGCCCCACTCGGGATATTTATTCTTCTCACCTGACTTTTACCTGGAACTTTTTTTTTTTTTTTTTTTTTTTTTTGGTTTTTCGAGACAGGGTTTCTCTGTGGTTTTGGAGCCTGTCCTGGAACTAGCTCTTGTAGACCAGGCTGGTCTCGAACTCACTGAGATCCTCCTGCCTCTGCCTCCCAAGTGCTGGGATTAAAGGCGTGCGCCACCACCGCCCGGCCCTGGAACTTATTTCTAGAACAGAGGAATTAAGATTCCTCACATCTGCCCTCAGAATGTGTTGGTGACATCTTTGCCCTGCCCTCTGGTTAGTAATTCCACCTTTGATAATTCCACAACTGTGGATGAATTGCCTTTTCTATTTTTTTTAATCCAATCACCATTTTCCAAGACCCAGCCCCAAACTGATCCTCCACAGCAGAGATGCTTTTTGTTTATTTGTTCTCCGGACACAGAGTCTCGATATATAGCCTGGGCTTGCTGTGTAGCCTGAGTTAGCCTGGACTTGCTGTGTAGCCTGAGTTATGGGCTTGCTGTGTAGCCTGAGTTAGCCTGGACTTGCTGTGTAGCCTGAGTTAGCCTGGGCTTGCTGTGTAGCCTGAGTTAGCCTGGGCTTGCTGTGTAGCCCGAGTTAGCCTGGACTTGTTTTGGGGGCCAGATTGACCTTGAATTTGTCATTCTGCCTCTGCCTCCCAGCTCTGGTATTACAGGAGTGTGCCGCTAAGCTTGGCTCAAAAAACTACATTTGAGCTAGATCTAATGTATTGGCATCCACAATCCTCCTGTATATATGGATTACTCAATTCATTGACCCCACCTTAGTTCTAATAGCCCTGAATTCTGATATATGTATGAATAAGATAGGGCCTCACTATAGAGTCCAGAATGCCCTGGAACACACCAGGTGCCTGGTTCATCCCCCTGATGAGGCTGTACCTCCATGCCTGGTCGATAATACTTTGAAAGATAAGGTAAATATGAATTAGCACTAAAACATTTAAGTCAGGAACACTTAAAATAACTGCTCATTTTGTAAACCTAATTTTATTATACAATATTATTGTTTTGTTTTCAACACAAGGGCAACACGAAGGCTAGAAGGCAAATTTCTTTCATTATGGGTCATAAGACTAGATGCATTATTAATGTTTTATTTCAAATGTTGCTATTTGATAATTAGGTCTAAAGTTTAGTTGTTTAAAATGACTTCACATCTTACGAGGGCAATTTTGGTTGTTTGCTGATGTCGAAACTTGTGATTGCAATGGTTGTGCAGTTCCGACTAGAGAAGATCATTTTAAGTTGAATGAGAATGCTACCACATTCCCACTTTGGAAAATCTAAAATGTCTCATAAAGTGGGTTCCCCATGCCTCTACTTCAATTGCAAGGCCAGGTGCGGCTGTGGGCCCGATGCCATCTGCTGCAGTCCCACGTGTAGCATGGGGGATTTCTCCAGCGTTCACCCTGTGCATGGGCTTCTGGGAGGAAAGGATTTGTTTTTGGTTCATTGCAGAGGTGGAAACTTGGAACAAGGTATGCAAAAAACATGCGACACCCTATTTTTAATGCAGCGTTCTATGTTTCCAATTCTGTCTAGTTTCAGACCAAGTGCACTGGAATTCAATTATAAACGAGAATTTTGAGCATTGTGAATGGGTAAGCCATTTAAGGATAGTTGGAAATCCCCCCCTCCCCCTACATCACGATTTAGAGACTTTTAGAATTCTAGTTATACTGACGCAGGATGTAGACAGTAACTGCAGGGTTCTGTACTTTCAAAGTAACGTTTTCGGCTAGCCTGTGATATTTGTGCCTACCTAAGCTGAATCTGCAATTAAAACAATAAGAGCATTGGAATTTGTGGGGCGTCTGTTGCCCCACGTTGGCCACCATTTTCCAGGGTTCACCTGTCACCCCATGTAGTGATGCCATTTGTCAGAGACCAGCTTCCACAAAAATATCACTTACCAGGGTAGGGGCATGGGTTAGAAAAATAGTAAAGAGAACAAAGACATGAGTGAAAATAATAAAACAGAAAACACAGGATAGTACCAGGAGGGCGGTCCAGTGATCCCTCCCTGGGTGGAACCCATTGTTATCTCCTTAAGGAAGTAGGAACTTAGTTAGATCCTTAGACTTTTGTTAGGGGTAGAAACACATCTACTTCTCTAGTCCTGAAATACAAGGTCTGGATATTAGCCACACCTGTTGACAGAGCAGAACTCTCTGGTCTAAATCTAGGTGGGACCTTTGTTTGAGGTGGAAACAGACAATAAACTTAAAGGAACAGAAGTTTCAACTCTGACCTTTCCTCAGGGTAGAATGGCAACAACTTTGAGCAAAGGGAAACTCTTTGACCTTCAGACAAGGTGGAAATAGGCTCCCATTTTTGGGCCCCATAGGCCGTTTTGTGTCCCCCCCCCCCAGATTCTGATATGGTTTCCATGGCTCCTCGCAGGGAGGAGAAAGCTGAAAGGAAAAACAGTCTGAATTCACTTCTTTCTAAAGAGCTTCTCCATGGACAGACCCTTTCTCATTGACTAGAACTATGTTGCTGGCCATTGTCCTTTGTAGGGTTCTTTAACGATAGAGTTGTTGTCTTCAACCAAAATCTGAGCTCTCTAGATAAAAACAATGCAGGTAGATGTTGGGTGGACAACCAGAAGTCTATGCTCTGGAACATAGTATAGTTCAAGAAAGATGAAACTTGTGATTCCCTGTCACCTTGAGGGGGTGTGGCTGAACAGAGTGAAGATGTCTTCTTAGTTCTCGGGAAATGTTTGTCAGGACTGGTTTCCTCTCTGGACAGCTGACTTTCCCTGCACCAGGATTTTCTAATCAAGTATCCTGGAGCCTGCACATTTGTGGGGGGAGGGGGGGAGGATGTGTGTGTAGGTGGCGGGTCTTCATGGCCTCTTCTTGAAGCTTTGTCGTGGCATCAGTATAGGTTGTTTCCTTTTGCTCCCTTTTGGTCCCCTTCATCATATCCCTGTTAGTTAAATTTTGGTGGTAACCAAGTTTTTGTGTTTGATTCCCACAAAGGCCATCCCTTTCATACATGGAGGAAGGCACTCTGTGCTCAGAAATGCTACCTCTCTTCCTGCAACTCCACTGTCAATCCAGGAATATCCTGGGAGATCGCCACTGGAGCTGCTTCTACTCACAGCCTACGTACTGGCCAGCAGAGGGAGAAGAAACACTTCCCACACCCAGCGCTGTGCAAAAGAACTCTCTGTGATGTGGAACTGTTCTATATCTGTGGTGCCCAAGGCGGCAACCGCTAGTTACATGTGTCTAGTGCACACTGAAATATGGCTGGCGGGGCTTACATTTTATTTCGTCCCACCCGAGACAGCCACATGGAGATGGTGGCTTTTGTGTGCACTGTTCGTCCCATTCCCCCGTGTGTGTGTTTTAGAGTCAGAAGGGGAGGAGGTAGCTGCTCGTGTGCTCCACAGACCATGGGTTTCACTGCTCTTCTTGCATTGAGTTTGTCTCCTTGAGGAAAAAGAAAATTAGTATGTTGGAAACTAAATTGAAAATGTTATTATCTACCTATTGCATGTCTTCTTGTACCAAATGGAATAGGTTTTAGTGACACGTGATCATGGGAAAAAATGGCAGGGCTGATCCACCACATCCCATGACCCCAGTCCATGTTCCTGACAGAGGTCATTTTTTTTTTTCAAAAATTTATTTGTTTCTTATGTAAATAGTATTCTGCCTCTATGTCTGCCTGCACACCAGAAGAGGGCTCCAGATCTCATTACAGGTGGTTGTGAGCCACCATATGGTTGCTGGAAATTGAGCTCAGGACCTCTGGAAGAGCAGCCAGTGCTCTTAACCACGGGACCATCTCTCCAGCACGGCAGAGGTCATTTTGTCTTGTGTTGTTTATTCCATTTTAGTTTACTTTTTATTATCGTAAATGCCAAATGATTATTTTGTGTATGTTTTTCAAGATACCTAATGGTTTATATTTTTTAAAGTTGTGAAATAAACATAATAATTACAAGTAGCTCAGGTTTTTTGTGTGATTTTTAGTAACTTGTAATTATCCAAACTTGGTTGTCTAAAATTAGGATATGGTTAATAGAGGAAAAGAGATATTGATTTTTGTATGATTTTCCTTTTAACGGACAACCTTATATGCCAATGAATGTTACCTTTCAAAAATCATTAAACGATTCTTCTGTTATGTTTGAAGTTTGAGTAGAACATATCGTCTCCACGTTCACTGTTTGGGCTGTTGTGCGGCGCGGTGGGAACTGTTAGTGTCCCAGGCAAACTCCTCTCACAGACACAGAGATTTCCTCCTCCGGTGGCTAATCTACGGATATATTTGGAAATGTTCTAATGATATATTTTTAATTGTGACGTTTTAAATGTATTCACCTTTTGTTCGTTGCTTTCTGTGTCCTCTTTTGAAGACATTTACCTGTCTTGCCCTTACCCAGGTTACCAAGAACATTCTGTTGTGTTTTCTTCTGCGCTAGAAGTACAGTTTTTTGATTTTCGAGGCAGAGTTTCTCTATGTAGCCCTGGCTGTCCTGGAACTCACTCTGTAGACCAGGCTGGCCTCAAAACTCACAGAGATCCACCTGCGTCCCTCTGCCTCCAGAGTGCTAGGATTAAAGGCGTGCGCCAGACCTGGCTTAGAAGTACAGTTTTTTGTTAAAATTTTTCAAGACAGGGTTTCTCTGTGTAGCTTTGGAGCCTGTCCTGTAACTCCCTCTGCAGACCGGGCTGACCTAGAGCTCCCAGAACTCCACCTGCCTCTGCCTCCTCAGCACTGGGATCAAAGGCGTGCACCACCACTGCCTGGCAGAAGTACACTTTTAATTTATACTAAGTTTATTATTTATCTTGAATTGAGTTTTGTATATGGTATGTGGTAAAGGATGATTTTCCCTTTTTCTATAAATAAACAAGCTTTCCCCTTTTTGTTTCTCCTTTCTATCCTCCTCCCTCTCTCCCTCCTTTTCGTCTTTCCTTCTCTCCCTCCTCCTCCCCTCCCTCTTCCTCCCCTCCCTTCTTTATCTATTGAACAGACTTTACCTCCCCCCCTCCCCCGACTCACTGCATTGCCTTCATCACCATCCAATGGGAGCAATAGTGGCCGTCTTCCTGGGTCTTTTCTGTTCTATGGGGCCCTCCCTGCAAATGCCAGTGTCTTAGCTCCATAGTAAGTCTGGTCATTCATGTACGTATCATGACTGGGGTTATTAACACAGGCTCCTAGTCACTGGCTGGAGGTACCCACCAGGAAGCCAGAATACATGGAACTGAAATACAATCAGTAAGAAAACCCCAGTGAAGGCCAGGCTTCCTTCACTTAAAACTGAGTCCTGGTCTGAGGTGTGTCTGGGTTAAGGAGGATGCCTCACTGTCCTGTTGGTCGTGGCAAACAAGAAGTCCCCTTTTTTTTCTCTTGATTCCAAGCCCTGAACTCAGAGCTCAGTGATGAAAAGTGTCTGCACTGTGGTTCACTGAGTCTACGCAGCAAACTTTGCTCACTCTGTCTATGAGTACCATTCCCCATATCTGTGCCATCTGCACTGATTTGCATCATGCTTAGTTAAATATAACAGGCAGTATCTTACCTTGCTGGATATTTATAAAAGTGACTGAAGACGGAATGGTGTCCAGGAAGGGGATATGTGTTTATGTTTCTACAAACAGAGCACATGTGTCTACTCTTCCTTCTGAGCAGCTTCTCTCCCGGAAGCACGGGGTATTGAGGAACACTTTGTTATTATTGGAAATGTTTTAAAGATATATTTTTAATTGTGAAGTTTTAAATGTATTCACCTTTTTTTCGTTGCTTTCTGTGTCCTCTTTTGAAGACATTTGCCTATCTTGCCCTTACCCAGGTTACCAAGAACATTCTGTTGTGTTTTCTTCTGTGCTAGAAGTACAGTTTTTTGTTTGTTTTTTGGTTTTCGAGGCAGAGTTTCTCTATGTATTCCTGACTGTCCTGGAACTCACTCTGTAGACCAGCCTGGCCTCAAAACTCACAGAGAGGGGCTGGAGAGATGGCTCAGTGGTTAAGAGCACTGCCTGCTCTTCCAAAGGTCCTGAGTTCAATTCCTAGCAACCACATGGTGGCTCATAACCATCTGTGTCACGAGCCATTTCCCCAGCCTGCAGGGATACATGCAGACAGAGCACTGAATACATAATAAATAAATAACCTTAAGAAATAATAAAATTAAATTAAAAAAACAAAACTCACAGAGATCTCTTAGTGTGAGCATCGGTCATTTCTCTCTGTTTTTTGTCAGCTGCCCACGTTTGCAGCATTCTTTAGTTCTTCATTGGTCGTTTTATGATATGTTCTCTTTGTTTGTTTAGGTATAGTCTCAGTCTGTAGCATAGGCTGGCCTTCGATTATGGCGATCCCGCGTCACTCTCCTACCTTAGCTTCCTGACTGCTGGAATTACAGGCATGAGCCACCATGCCCTGCATGGCCACCAAAATGTTAAAGACCCTTTTGATGTGAAATATACATCTATACATTCATGCACATACTTATATTTTAAAATCTAAATGGAAAACTATATGCACATTTTTAAGTTTGTTTTTAAGATGAATCAATCATTCCATATTCATTTATTTAATCCATAGTGACTGAAGACCTAGTTGTAACTCTTGTTACTTAGGCTTGATTCATAAGCAAAGAAGACAGCAGTTCTTTGCTCATGGGGCCGCTTCTAGTGTACACACATGGCCACTTCTAGTGTACACACATGCCTGTTTCTAGTGCACACACGTGGCCCCTTCTAGTATACACACATGGCCACTTCTAGTGTACACACGTGGCTGCTTCTAGTGTACACACGTGGCCCCTTCTAGTGTACACACGAACCTGTTTCTAGTGTACACATGTGGTCCCTTCTAGTGTACACATAAACCTGTTTCTAATGTACACACATGGCTGCTCCTTTTTAATGATGTCATAGCAGCTCAGGTAAAAGAATCATTTATTCCACCGACTCTTTCTTAATGTACATGTAGCTGTCTAGGCTTTTGCCATTCCCGGTAACACCACATGACTCTTTGAAATAAATCTGTGATTGGAATATGTATAACTACAGAATAAAATACTAGATGTGGCATTTCTGGGTACACGCAGTCTACATAACTTTTTTATTTTGTTTTTATTTATTTTTAGTTTTCATAGTTTTGGAGAACAGTTTTAGAATTACTAGGAAAATTATGTAGCAAATAGTTTTAAAATACACCTCCTTCCCTGAGTAACAGCGTCTCCTCTATTAGCCTTAACACCCTGTTTAGTGTGTGACACTTAGCGCAAACGTCTGTGGTTAAGAGCCCTATAGCCCATGCCAGAGGACCATTGCCTTGCTGACTTTGTTACGCTGATGCTGACCTGTGTCTGTATGGCTTACGCTAAGATTCCCTCTATGTCGTAGTGCTAGCTGTTTTAACAAGCTGATGTGTGGCATGTACTACATCAGAAAGAAGTTCCAGCCAGCAGTGGTGGTGCACGCCTTTAATCCCAGTACTTGGGAGGCAGAGGCAGGCAGATCTCTGTGAGTTCAAGGCTAGCCTGGTCTACAGAGCAAGTTCCAGGACAGGCTCCACAGCTACTGAGACTAACAGAAGCTCCACTGCCCTAAAAATTGGTGCTCCGTCTCCTTCTCTTCCTCCCTCCTGACGCCCCAGGCAGTCACTATTCAGCTTACTGTCTCCTGTTTTCTGGAGGATACAGCCCTTTTCCAGATTGTTTTTCTTTTCTTCTTTTTTAATTCAGCAACATGAACTCAAGCTTCTTCCTCATCTTGCTGTGGACCAAATGCTCGTTTCTTCCTACCTTGCTATACTAAACTTTGTTACTGCACCTACTGGAGCACAACCTACTTGCTTTCAAGGTTTTCACAATTATGGATAAACCTTCTGTGAATTTTTCCATACAAGTTGCTGTGTGGACAAATCTTTTGGGCTTCTTGGGATAAACACCACGGAGAGAGACTGTGATAGTGTGTGGTAAGACAATCTATAGTTTTGTTAAATGGCTGCCTAAACTTTCCAGTAGAGAGGGGTTCCAATTGCTCTGCAGTGGGAACATGGTCAGCACCCACTGTCACTGGTGTTTTCTGTATACAGTCTCACTCTTACTGACTCTAAGGAAGGGGGAGGGGTGCACGCCACAATGCACGCGTGAAACTCAAAGGACAACTTGTAGGAGTCAGTTCTCTCCTTCCACCACGTGGTCTCAGGCCATCGGGTTTGGTGGCATGTGCTTTCCAGCAGTGAGCCATCTCCAGCCCCCAGTGTTTTCTATTTTGGAGAGTTAGGTGTGCAGAAGTGTGTCGTTGTGTAATCTGCAGTTCCCTGGCAACATCGGATGCTGAGCATCATCCCACGTGCTCATCTGACATCTGTGTATCTTCCTTGCTCGGGTTTATCTTTAGACCTTTTGCCTGTTTTTTATTTGATTGTTTGTTTTCTTAGTGTATAATTGAAGTGTTCTTGCTGGGTTGCCTCGTCCAGCCTTGGTGAGGGAGAGGAGCTTGGTTCTGCTTCAACTCAATGGGTCAGGCTTTGTTGACTCCCATAGGAAGCCTGCCCCTGTCAGAATGGAGGAGTAGATGAAGGAGGGAGAGGTGTAGATGAGAGGTGGGAGGAGAGAATTGGAGGAAAGGAGGGAGGGGAAACTGCTCTGCGAGTCTCTGCTTCCCTGCCCCATACTTGTCTCTTTATTCCCTTAGCAGTGTCTTTTGAACACGTTTCTCATTTAGATGGAATCCGGTTGATCAGGTTTCTCCTCTGGTGATTTTGGTGTTGCATCCTGGAATCACTGCCAAGTTCAAGGTTATCTATATTTTCCTCCTCAGCTACCTTAGAGGCTTTTATTCATATTTTTTTGTTTAGGTCTGTGATCCATTTTGAGGGCAATTTTATAATTCTGAAACATGAATCCAGATATTTCCTTTTTTTTTCTGATTTTGAATTTAGATGTTCATTTATTCCAATGCCATTTGTTGAAAAGACTCATTGGATTTTCAAAACTGAATACGTTATCAAAAAAGTAAATCTGTTTCTTTCATACTTCAAATTCCTATCTATCAATTTGTATTCTCTCTCTCTCTCTCTCTCTCTCTCTCTCTCTCTCTCTCTCTCTCT